AAATCCCACCTAAATCCGATTTAAACCATTAGGAATTGATTCATTTGCAGAAGTTTTTTTTTGCAAAATTTCTATTTGACAGAAAAAAATGTAGATTGACCAAACAATCCAGCTATTTTCAGCCACTCAAATCTGTCAACTAAACTTTTGGAAACCGTGAAAAATAAAGTTTGCCTATAACAAACGGATTTTCAAAAAAAAAAGTGGTTCAAAGAAAGATGAAAATCTAGCTACTTTATCTAAATGTATACTTTCAGTTTTAGAGTTATGAGGATGAGCAGCTGTTCCAAATCTATTATGCCGAAAATGATTTAGTAACTCGTTGAAAACACATCCGGTCGGTTGTACATAAATCAGAACTTTTTCGGCATGTAAAAACTGTCGCCTCGGTTGGAATTTCAGTTCAGATTAAAGGTGGGGGGGGGGGACATGAAAAAAATAATGTTCTCGAAATTCCGTTCAAAGATGCCCCTCGAGGAGTTGAACTTGTGAGGGCGATGATTGAGGGTGCGGCGCCGCTACCGACTTAGCCACGCGGGCAAAGAGAAAGCGAACGCCCGGTTGCATACATAAAGGCGAGGACGACAGCTGTACGCAGAATGACATTAGCGTTGTACACCGTGACGGTAGAATGCATACTCTAGCTACAAAAAAAACTACGAAAAATATCCTGTCCCCCCACCTTTAAAAAGTAAGTTTTTTAAAAATGAATACCAAATTGCTTTTACTACTGGAATCTTCTGAGGTACAGTACTGGCCAAAAAGGTATTCGCAAACGATTTTTTGAGAGTAACTTTGCTGAAACTTAAGGGATCGATCTGAAAATTTTACTGTGCATGTCGTACACGGTGACGACAAATTGCGTACAAGGAAATTGCATCATTTTCAGAAATTTTTTGTTTTTTTTCAATTTTTTCAATTTTTTCGTTTTTTCACTTTTTTCATATTTTTATATTTTTGGATATTATGGTTTCTAAGAATGTTGGTTTTGGCTCCTATGTATTTAAAACTGTTTACAGACATGGCCAGACCCCTCGGAAAAAAAAACATCTCTCAGGACATCCGTAAAGCCATCGTCATCGGCTTCAGAAGTGGATGTTCCAAGGACCTCTTGGCGCAGCAGTTCAATGTTACTAAACGTGCCATCGAGAAGATCTTGAAGCAGTTTCGGGATGAGGTAATATTCGAAAATAGTATAGTTATGGAAAAAAATGTTTAGGGAGCCTTGGTGGAGCGAAAATCGCCTGGAAGACCGCGTATCACGTCGAAGAACATGGATCGGAACATCGTCCGAGCTTCAAGAGAGGATCCCCAGAGGAGTTCTACGGACATTCAGATGGTCGTGAAGACTCCAAATGAAGTCACACCATCCCTGAGAACCGTCAGAAGACGTCTTCAAGATGCTGGACTCCATGGACGACGGCCAGCTAAGAAACCATCGATCAGCAAGAAGAACAGAATCGCCCGCGTAGCATGGGCCAGAGCTCATCTCCACTGGGGACGTCAGGATTGGGCTAATCACGTGTTCAGCGACGAATCCAAGTTCAATCTGTTCGGTACTGACGGTATCAAGTGGATTCGCCGTCCGGTTGGATGTCGGTTCGATCCCAGCTACCAGCTCCAAACCGTCAAGCATGGAGGTGGATCGGTGATGGTCTGGGGCTGCTTCTCTGGGACTTCAATCGGCCCGCTGAGAAGAATTACGGGCATCATGGATCGCTTTGTGTATGAAGACATCTTGGAGAACACAATGAGACCCTGGGCACGGTCTACTGTGGGCCGGGCGTTCGTTTTCCAACAGGATAACGACCCGAAGCACACCTCGAAGCACATCAAGGAGTGGTTCCGACGCCGCCACGTGGATCTTCTGTACTGGCCAAGTCAATCTCCGGACTTGAATCCGATCGAACACCTCTGGGAGCATGTCGAGAGACAGCTTAGAGGGATCCGTGCCTCGAATGCCAACCAGAAGTTCGACCAACTCCAAGATGTCTGGCAGGCCATCCCGATGTCTGTCATCGACACTTTTCTCGACTCGATGCCAAGAAGATGTCAGGCGGTAATCGACGCCAAAGGCTTCCCAACGAAGTACTAAAGCTATTTTATTCATTTTCTATTGTTATTTTTCGTTTACCGGTCTATCCTAGATCTCAGAAGTCAAAGTTCCATTTACCGGTTTTTGCAATTTTCATGAATTTTTCGATTTTTTTTCAATTTTTTGAAATTTTGACTATTCTTGTTGTTGAATCAGTTTCTTTTACCGTTTTAAACTTTGTCTTAAAATATCAGATTGATCCGGGAAGTTTCAGAAAAGTTATGCTCGAAAAACTATTTGCGAATACCTTTTTGGCCAGTACTGTACTTGTGAAAGTTTTGAAACCGATTTTAATCTAAAGTCATATTCAAATGATCCGCTATTTCACGACCTCTAGAAACTCTGCATTTTGCAATTTTACTCTGCAATTTTTTGCAATTTTAATTAGTATCGTTTTCTACATCTCGTTGAGAACTAAAAATTACTTTTTGGTTTGCACAGAGATTTTAAATTTGAATGGAGTTATGCGTCGTTTGGCATGTGGACCGGTAGACAAGTGCAAATAGATGTCGCTTGGACCATACAATCAAAAAAAGCATCAAACAATTGATTTAATCTCAAATTTCATGAAGACCTGGAAACAGCAAAAAAATTCCACCCAAAATGGACCCCAAACAAAATAACAAAATAAAAAAGGTGTGAAGTTGCTCTTTTTTCCAAAAGAGGAGTGAAAAAAAAAGAGAGAAAAGGGTTGGATTTGCTCCCTCCATCCCATGTCACTTACAATTACGTCGATTTGTGGTTGGACATTCCTTTACCTAACGGAAGTTGTGAAGAAGAAGAGAAAGAGAAGGACGTGGAGAAGGGGACACATTTTCTGGTCGGGTTGTGGACCATAAAAGTAGATGAAGAAGGTTGAACTTGCTGGGGAGGTGGGGATGATGTGGGCGGAGAAGAAACAGAAAAGGAACAGATTGAAAATCAGCATTAGTAATGGGGAGTGGTGTTCTGAATCGTTAGGAGACAGAAGACCGCTTGTTGTTCTATAAGTTGAATGCTTCGACGCGTTCAATGAGTAGTTTTTCAGCTTTTTCAATGTCTTTAGTCATGTTAATTCCATTTTCCGATTTATATCGAAAAAACGCTGAAAGCAATCGTAAAATTGAGAAAATAGGAACAAAGTATTTAAAATAGGTTGAAAGAATACGGTAGTTTGCACTTGCGTCTTTGAGAAAAATTTAACGAGATATACGTAATAGGGACTTATGGGGGGCCCAAAGTAGTGAATTGTAATTCACTAAAAACAGTAAATTTTTTGAATTTGATGATGTATAAAAGAACTTATGAAATAACAAAACATTCAATTATAATGAACCTACTTTAAGGATGTGGGACAGAATGGAGGGGGATCACAAAACGCTTACCGTAAACCACATCAACCAAAATAAATTGGCTCAAAGCTAGGAGGGGGGTCGTTCTATCAAAGTGTTCGCTGTATATATACCATCAAGTCGGTCGGAGCAATGCAATCTTAATAGTTTGTCCACAAGCTCAATTCTTTGAGGAGCTACTAATGGGAAAAGTTACTAAGACATCATTTTAATACAACACTACTTAAAAATCGGTTCCAGAAATCTGTGAAGTTAGCATTTTAAAAGATTGCGATGATTCGTATCTAGACAATAATCAAATTGAGTCAAACATAACCTGAATCAAGTTAAATTTAGCATTTCGAAACATAGATGAGTGGAATAGAAAAATTGAAATCCGGAAGAGTGAATAAGGAACTCCGTTCATCTTTGTTCTGAAATAATTACAGCCAAAATCGACAATTTCTCTCTCTCTCTGGATTTCTAATAGAAAAACTTTTAGAAAATATTATGGAATCCTGTTAGTTTACATTTACAAGCAAATTTTTCGGTTTTTAGGTGATTCATGTTTGAGCATACTTGCGGGCGGGCTCTGTCATAGTTTCTTTTAGGATTGATATTTTTGACCAACTAAACTAGATATGGTAGAACTCGACAAGCACTACAAAATGATAGTATTTGGGACACTGTATCATATTTGTGAACAGTTACAAGCCAAAAAGCTGCAAATGCGGGCCGGGCCGGGCCGGTTTTTTCGGCCCGTTTGGTCTGTAACTTTGTTCACAAACATGATACAGTGCCCCAAATATAGCATTTTGGGGAGCTTGTCGAGTTCTATCATATATAATTTGGTTAGACAAAATATTGATCTAAAAGAAACTCTCACAGGGCCCGCCACGGCCCGCTTTGGGCCCATCCGCAAATATGTGTTTGAGTTCTGATTTTTTCAATACCATTGGGTTGTACCTTGGCCATTTTTTTGCGATTCAGGTCATCGACACTAATTGAAATTCCAGAATCCTTAAAAAATTATTCAGGCAGTTTGAAACAGTGAAAAATTTTTTGGGAATAATTGAGAAAAAGCGAAGACTACTAGGGAGTCCTTTCAATGAAGTCTCAAATTCATGATTTCAACTAGTTTGAATATTCAGAATTAAAGGTGGGGAGACATGAAAAAAATAATGTTCTCGAAATTTGTTTTAAATATACCCCCCGAGGAGTTGATCTTGGGGGGGGGGAAGATTGAGGGTGCGTTGCCGCTACCGGCTGAGCCACGCGGGCAAAGGGAAAGCGGCCGCCCGATTGCACACATAAAGGCGAGGAAGACAGCTGTACGCAGAGTGACATTAAGCGTTGTACACCGTGACGGTAGAATGCATACCCTAACTCCGAAAAATTTCCTGTCCCCCACCTTTAAACAAAAACACTTTTTCATGACGAAAATTTTATTAAAACCAACACCGTTTGAATAAGCAAGATATACAACAAAACTCAAAATCAAATATTGATAATGAAACAAAAATAAATTACCGCTATACGAGATGCGCTTATGAGTGACCCGGATTTTTTGAGATCCTTCATAAATGAAATTTAGCTCATCCCAGATTCACTCCTAACGATTTTCCACTTTCGGAACAAGTCCAGAACGGTTTCTCGTAGTCCTGATGGTTGTAAACAAAGTACGAGGAATGGAGAAGCGAGTGAATACAGACGAGCCAATTCGTAAAATCTGCAGCAAGAATGGCGGATTTCTGAAGAAGTATAAAGTAAAAAATCACTGCGTATGGAATGGGAGATAGGTTGAAGTGATGAAATTGAACGGCGAATTTTTTTAAACAAAAAAATTTAACTTGTAAAAATTTTTGGAAAGTTAGAATATACTTTTAAAGGTGGGGGGACAGGAGATTTTTCGTAGTTTTTTTTGTAGCTAGAGTATGCATTCTACCGTGACGGTGTACAACGCTTAATGTCACTCTGCGTACAGCTGTCGTCCTCGCCTTTATGTATGCAATCAGGTTGCCGCTTTCTCTTTGCCCGCGTGGTTCAGTCGGTAGCGGCGCCGCACCCTCAATCATCGCCCTCACAAGTTCAACTCCTCGAGGGGCATCTCTGAACGGAATTTCGAGAACATTATTTTTTTCATGTCCCCCCACCTTTAAAGAGATTTTCAGAATATTTTTTTTTGAGAATCGAAAATTTCCGCCTTTTTTGTCTGGTCGCTTTACAGTACCGGCAATGAAATACACAACAACGCATTTTTCAGTTAATTTTCGGTCGTTTTGACAATTTCCAAAAGTCTGGAACTCGGCTGTCAAATATCCGATCACTTTGAAAATTTTGGATGGTGTAAACAGATCTAGATTGAAAACTTAGCATTAACAGATTTTTTGAAGATTCCTAGTTTTTCAGCTACTTGCCGATTTATGAAAGACACCCTTTTTCTCTCCCCAAAAGTTCCAAAGTGATCGGACACTTGACAGCCGAGCTCCAGTCTCCCAAAAATGATCAAAATGACCAAAAATTAACTGAAAAATTCGTTTTTAGAGATCTTGACTGATAATGGACATAAGTAAGCGACCTCAATCTTCCCTTACAATTTCATACAAAACCCATGAAACAGTAACTCACACTATTCGAATATTTCAACATAATACAAGTGAGCAGTGGAATTTCTTCTAGGAATAATGTCGCAATGAAATGAAGCATAACTGGTCGAAAATAGGCGCTATTCAGGTTTCGATGCAATAAAAGAGCCAGTCCGACAACGCATACTGTGGTGATGGCAAAAGAGAAATCATAAGCCGTGGTGACAGCCGAAGCTTCCGGAGATGTGATACAGGAGACTGTTTGACTCGTGGCGTCTGGAAAATGTTACATTTTGGATTTTTGCCGTAAAGATAAAGATGATTTTGTTCTAATAGAAACACTAATAAAAACCTTGAAAACCTATCAAATTCCAACTTCCAGCCAATTTATATCATTCCCTGTGAAAGCTATCAAAAAGTAGTCGTCATTGGTAAAATATTTTTGACAATATTATAAACTGTTTTCCAGTTTAAAACATACTGATAACATCGGCTTCACTATTGCGAGATACTAATAATAAAAATTTATACGCGATTCTTGAAACAGCGATAATTACCATTCATCAAATTTTCAGACTTGTTCAAAAGCAAACGAATAAATGTGAAAAAAATGTTCAAAAACTCACCAATTACCACCAATGCTGTCAAAATGATAGTGTAGCAAATAGCTCCAGCAATAAACGGAAGAATCCTAGAGAATAGACTGGAGTGATGGAAATACACAGGAGAGAACGCGGCTAATGACCAATCGATCACTTCACACAGGAGTAGGAGGACCTGGAATGTAGAAGATACTGTTTCAGTATTGAAATTTTCGGTTAATAAAAAAATTTACCTGAAGCAACGGAATTGATGTTGAAATCACCAATGTGGCTCCACATATCCTTTCATCTGAATGTCGATCCAAATATGCAAGGAGAAGAAGAAGACAAGCCACGACAATGTCCACTATGAATTTTACTGGAAATTCGAACTTTTTTGAAAAAAAAATCCGGTTTCTAATTTTCCATATTTCTTTACTTCTGTCAAATGAATCGATACACATTTTTCAAAATAAACCAACCTAAAAATATGGAATACTTCTCCCGTAGCCTCGTATTATGCACAACTGTAGACAATAAAAAAGTGGATACAGTAAGCTCGATGAGTCCCAAAAATATATAAATAAAGAATTCAGGAGCCATGTAAAACTGAAAAATGGTATTTCAAGTGAAAACGACAAGGGGTTAACCATGCGACTAATGCAAATTAAATGACAGGGAAACGAGAGAGTATAGGAATCCAGGAGACGCAGAGAACAAGACAAACACAAGTTGTACAACATCACTGAGTTGTTATCAAAAAAGTGTGATGATTTTGATTATGATAAAAACTTTGGACAGTGTACCTAAAATATTTATAGGGAGGTTGGAACCCAAACGGAAAATAGGATTATAATGGTATTTTGAAACCAAAAAAAAACCAAAAAAAGTGAAAAATTCAAGTGAGGTGATAAGAAAACAGCCACATTTTGGCATGATGCTGATATTATTTACATTTGTTACAAAGAAGAGACTTTTGAAGGGCCAACAGAAAAGAGGAGAAGAAATAAAATGTGTATGTTTTGAATATAACAAATACAGTCATGGGAACCAGTTTGAGGGACGGAGGAGGAACGAAAAAAAAGGTTGCAATTATTTGGGAAAAGTTCATGGAGAGTAAGAAGATTACAAGGGTGGAATCGCGAACTTTTTGAAGTCAGAAACATTTTGAACATTTTACACACCGTGAATTTTCTAGGGCGTAGAGTGAATCTAACGCGAATACCGTAGTTAAGCGCGTAACGACGCGCATGCTGAAAAATGAACTGATGAGTCGCTACGTAGTTGTGCCTGCATTCCATCGGCAAAAGCGAGGGAAAGCTAACTTTTAAAAATACGTTCCGGAAAAATCGCTGTGTGTACATGGAACAACCATACTTGTAAAATCCGGGCCGGCCCGCCAAGGCCCGGGCCCGGGCCTGAGGAAATTTTCAAGGCCCGGTGTCAAAAATTCTGTATTTTTGAGCCAAATTTTGAGCTCTCAATATAATTTTTCCCATTTTTTTTTCGTTTTTTGGATTGTTTGTCTGTCTAATCAAAAAAGATCGAAAAAACTCGAAAAAAAATTTTGGTCGAAAAAAATCACATAAGTGTCCTTATGTGTTTTTCGAAAATTTCCAAACTAGTGAAATGACGGGCCGGG